TTTACTTTGGGACTACGGGTTAGATTCCCGATAGATCCCCCCCTGCATTTTTACTTTGGGACTACGGGTTAGATTCCCGGTAGATCCCCCCCTGCATTTTTACTTTGGGGCTACGAGTTAGATTTCCGGTAGATCCCCCCACACATTGATAGTTGGACTACGGGACGGTATCCCGGGAGATCCTTCGGATATACTCATATGATAGACTACGGGACGGTATCCCGGGAGCTCCTCGGACGGTTGATGAAATGGACTACGGGACGGTATCCTGGGAGGTCCTCGTTGTTGGTGCTGATATTGAGCTGTTTTACTCTGTGTTACCTTATTCTCTGCGTGTTATTGTTGCTTCGTATAACTTGTCTTGCTTCATAGTTTTATTCATTATTTCTATTTACTTTATAATGCTGCAAGGCTTATTATTATGTTTTACCTCAGTAGGGCCCTGACTTTCCTCGTCACTACCCGACCGAGGTTAGGCTTGGCACTTACTAAGTACCGTTGTGGTGTACTCGTGCCCCTTCTGCGCATGTTTTTCATGTGTAGATCCAGGTACTTCATCCCAGGCGTATCACTCTCGAGGCGGAGAGATCTAGCTGAGATTTCGAGGTACTTCTGCCGCGTCCGTAGAGCAGGAGTCTCTATCTTATTCCAGCTTTAGTAGATAGTCTTTCCTTTCTTTCAGTTGTTTAGACATTCTGGAGTTATAACGATTAGAATCCCGAACTCATAAGCATGAAATCCTGACTCCGCCTCTGAAACCAAATATTGAATGAGTTAAACAAGGATGAGATATACCTGAATAATACAACAATAACAATAGCAACAAACACATTGTAATCTAACAAGTACCAATAAAAAAAAATAGATAGAAAGACTGTTTCCAATGACCTCGACTATGTACCTAAATCATCTAGTGGGAATTATGTCAAATTACCTATAATTTCTTGGAATTCTTGTGGACTTAGCAAATACTAGTAAGGACAAATTAGAGATGGATTTTTTAAGTATTCATGTATATGCATTTCTAACTAATTTTGTTTCATATATTTTTGTTCAAAAATTGTTTCTCATTTTGAATCTAGGTTGAGTTGGGCTATTTCAAGGAAACAATGGCTTTCACCATTGACAAGGATAACTCTCTCAAAGGTATATATGCATTGCTTCCTCCCTCTCTATCTGTGTACAGTTAAGCACACATGTTTGATCAGGGAATAGAACACAAACTTGAATTACATCAACCTAAGTTAAAGAAACCATATTTGGAGGATACTATATATATGGACATATTATTAGTTGAATTATGTAGACAATGTGTTCGAGATAATGACTGAATGAGTGAAAAGTGGTAAAGTGTCTTAAAACAAATTTCCTTTTTTATGACGGTGTTGGGCAAGTGTGCATGCACTTTGACTATTCCACCGGATATCTGCTACCTCCCACCGGACAAGTATCGGATGACTCTGACCTCCAAGGCATAAGCACATGAGAGGAAATCAACTAGTGTTTTTTCTCAGATAGGGAAAATTAGCGTTAGATAAATAAATTGGTCTACGATTCAATGTAAATCCAAGTTCCTTATTGATGAACGATGCAATTCGGCAGAGAGTATGTATGTAATTAGATACTGATGACCTTATCCTTAGCATTACAGAGGTGATATATATAGCACAGACAAAAACTACAGAGTGGATCTATAATAGCTTTTGCAAATGATCTTGGAGAGTGTAAAAATATATGCAGTATGAAATGGTGCATTGAGAATGGATACCGAAATGTGATTACTAGAGATGGTATCTTATTTGATTTGGGATTTAAACCAAACTTAACATTTAAGTGCCTACAGGCCCTACACTAACAGCTTTACACAAAAACATGAACATTTCGATGAGCTATCAGATCATTGCTTGTAGTGCTTTCCTCTGGTCTGCTTCTACTTCCGCTGTTGCCATCACCAGGTCTGTTTCTTGTTGTTTCTCTAGTTGTTGTCAGTATTTGCTATTGCTTCATTAACCTTTTGGAAAGATTCTTATGCCTTTATAATTAAGTTATGAGATGAATTAAACCAAGAAGAAATAAACTAACTACAAGAAAAAAGAAGCAAATTTTTTCAAGCATAACTTCAAAAATAAATCAATTAAAGAGATTTGTCAATGTATACAAAAAACGACACAGTATGCGTTAATGCATGATGTTTCCTGGTCCGGACTGCCCTTATACAAAAAACAACACGCTCCCTGAAAGGGACTATCAGTTCAAGTACGATCAGAACTGAACTAGAATATGGGGAATTGCATAAATGGACTATAATACGTTGGGAAGGTTTTTATTTTTGCAGCCCATTGTTTGTTGACAGAAACTAACGTGCTAATTTTGGGATAGTTCAGAGATTGGTGTTTTTCTGCTCAGTGTGGTAGTATTAGGATGTAGTTTTGGTTTGGAATATAGTTAAAGGATGTTTTCGCCATTTTATTGAGCCGAGGGTCTCCCGGAAACAGCCTCTCTACCCTCATGGGTAGGGGTAAGGTCTGTGTACACTCGACCCTCCCCAGACTCCACTAGTGGGATTATTACTGGGTTGTTGTTGTTGATGTAACTAATCAACGAGTGTGTTTGCTCAATGTGGGAGTACAAGGTTATAGTTCAAGATGATCTGAAGCCTTCAGAAAAAAGGGAAGATTCTGTTTTTTTAATTTAGTTTCTCCGAGTGCTAAGCGATTAGACAAACCTCTGTCTTCGTAGTGATAACCAAAATATAAATACATGAAGGAAGAAACTCTTTACCCCCTCAAATACTATTTTAAAATTGAACAGCCGCAGTCTCTTGTATCTTGGAACATCACTAGTGAGTTGTGATCCTAAAAAATAACCAAAATTTTCCCTTTTTTTCTGAAGGCTTCAAATTGTCTAGAGTCCTGAGCTTGGAGAAGCAAACTGAAGAAGCTCTTCATTACTTTCAAATACAGACATCTCTCCTTCTTCCAAGTTTACGAGTACTTCAACTCCATCCCCATTTTGGTTATCCAGAAGGAGAAACATATTGACTGGAAAAGTAGCAGCATCCACTCTTGTTGGCCTCCCCCATCCAAAATTTATGTCATGGAACGGGAATTTCCTTAAACTAGAAAACCTATATATAGAAAAATCATTGCTTGAGGTTCGCTCGTTTATCTGTGTAGCTAGTTCAGATACCCTTGAAAATAGTATATCTTCTGATTTAATATCTTTGAGCATATCATGGACCTTCTCTTTTCTTTCTCTAAGCTCACCAATTAGTCTTTGCCATTTTAGATCTTCCTCGTTCGCTGCTGATGCAACGTAAGGAAGAATGGCATTTCCTACCAAGCCTGCTGGAACTAGTGCATCATTATTTGTTCCTTGTAGATTTACTGCTTGGATCAATAACGATGGCTTAAAAGTTGGCGTATTGGCGCATTTACATAGTAATGCAGTGACAGCTTCCACAGTTGTAGGAGGAATTTGGCTTCTGGCCTTGAGAGCTTTTAACTTGGAGGCTGAGAAATGGTACCTTTTCGATGCATTTTGTTTTCGACTAGGATCAGCCACTTGTGGTGGTGCAGAATAGTTGGCCGGTTGAAAGACTGATGCTCCATTAAAAAGGGGAGATGGTTTTGCTTCTGAATCACGTGCAACGAGAGCCCAATCTCTTAGGAAATTAGTCATACTGTAACCATCAACAACCTTGTGGGAAATACATGCACTGAGTATTATGCCACCGCATTCAAAATGATTAAGTTGAGCTACGATTAAACTGCCCGTAGATAGGTTCCAAGGATCTTTAGGAAATATTAACTTATCGATATCAGTACGAGGGTGATTGAAAATACTGGACATTGGACAATCAATTCGGACTTGAGAGAGATCGACTCCCATGTCATTACATTCGACAAAGGAATTGTCACGTACACGTCCAGCAAATGGATAATATGCGGTTAAAACTTTGGATAGCGATTTCTCAAGAATTTGGGAGACCTTTGTCGGTTCAAGAGAGCTTGCAGTGTCTTGTTTTGGGTAGAAAAAAGAAAACGGAATATAGGAGTGAGTCCCCATTTGGTCCATAAGAGAGAGGTTGTGAATTCTATGTGAAAATGGGGTTGGAGAAGAGGGCTTAATAATCTTTTGAGAAAGTGAAACAAGCCTTGAAATAGCCATCTTAGTTGAATTACAAATGGTCTCTTTAACTGCAGGGAACTTCTTTGCTGTTTAGCCTCTTCTAACTCATGTATATATATATAGAGCCTGGAAACAGAAGAATCCTACTTCACTATCTGTTTGGTTATGTTATAAACATTATTAATGATGAGCATCAATTTGACAGATTATTGACATAGAATTGGAAAAAGAGAAAAAATATATGGTTACTGGTGAGGAATTTTCTCACTGTATGCCATTTTCTAATTTATCATGCATAATTTTGTGACTATTCTCCAACATTACGTGAACCTAGTAGCTTTTGTTTAAACAGTGTACATGTGTTCGAAAAATTCACTAAATATCTATAAATATTTGAATGTGAACCCTGTTACTATTAAAAATTTACTCGAAATTGTTGCAGAAACTCGTAAACATTAAATCCTGGATCTGCCTTCTAAGTAGCGTCTTTAACTCACACATACTCATATTGTAAAACACATGTACATAATCTCTTCCTCCTACCATGCCTACCTATAGGATTGTTTGGTTCGCGTACTAGTTATGCAACGAATATAAAGTAGAGAGAATTAATTACTTAAATAGTTACTCAACTATTTAAAATAGTGTAAATGTGTAATAAAGTCATTTTCCTTTAGTTAATAACAGAAAAGTCACTCAATTATTGTAAATGGTATAACAAAGTGATCTTTTTTTAAATTTTGTAACAGATAAGTCACTTTATTATTGCTATATCGTACCAAATATACTGTTAGCCAGTAACAATTATATTTTTGGTAACACAATATTGTAAAAATAGCACGGGCTAGCCAGTTTTCGGACTGGTCATTCAAAAATAGCCAGTGTTTGCAAAGTCATTGAAAAATAGTCACGATTTTGCTGCAACACGAAAAGTTCCAGCATAATATACTGGAGATCGGTGCACCTGTGTATGAACTTCCAGCATATTATGCTGGAACTCCAACACGCGGAATGTTCCAGTATAATATACTGGAGATTGGAGCACCGGTGCTCCAATTTCCAATATCTATGCTAGACCGGTATATTATACTGGAACTCCAGTATAATATACTTGAGTATTTTTTTCGGATTTTGAACTGTGTTTTCGTTCAGATTTATCTTTACATGAAAAGTTGCTAAATTTCGATTACTTTTGAAACTGTGGCTATTTTTGAATGACCACTTGTAAATATGGCTATTTTTTAATTTCTCGCCATAATATTTGAAGCTAAAAACTAAAAAATAATAATAATAAACCCCAAAGAACTTTTTAGAAACATTTCAAGCGACTCTATGTGTTTCAAAAAGTAGGGTATAATGAGAGAGATTCTAACGGCTCAATTCAATACCTATGGTATGGGTTTGGTAAATGAAGTCGAAATAAAATCAATAGCCTTTAATTCAAAATAATTAATTATTCATCCATCTTTTGGCTTTCTATTGAAGTTAAGGCTTACCGAATAAAAAGAATTTCTTAAGCTACTATTTCGTAGAAATGACACCAGGTAGCCACTTTATAGGATAATATTTAGTCAGTGCATCCTTAATTTTAATTTTTTAGTTCAAATTTTTAGGACAAAAATATTCTGAATTGTCCTGGAATTAAGATTTTTAGTATAAAATTTCAGAAAAAAAAAAAATAAGTACTGGTTAATCTCTAAATAGCATCCCTGAAAATGGCTATATGTGCACTTGCCTTCCTAATTACATACCAAACTATGAGTAAAAACGTACAAGAAAATATAAATGCAAATTAATAAATGATAGTTTAGTTACAGTATCGGTATTTGCAAATGCTGAACTACACTATTCATAAATATTATTTAGCCATGACTATTACAAATTCCGAATTTCATTATTTGAACTTCAAGTAAAATATTGAAATATTAGTTTTTATTTCAAAGAGATACAAACTATTAACTAATACGAAGAAAATCAATTTATCATTTTTATGCTAATAAGTTTCATAAATGTTAATAGTACTTCACTTAATATTTTCTCTGGAAAAGAAAAGTAGCATTTTTTAGGAGAATAAAAATTTGCATATTTAATTTGTTCGGTATAAGCCTTAACTATAATATAGCTCACACACTCCTTTCTCAACACTGTATATATACTCCCTCAGATACTATTAATATATACAGTTTTCTGAAAAGTAAGAAATACTACGTACTTTGATATTATTAAATTGGTAAGAAAAAAGAGCTGCCTGATTCATAACTCATGAGGAAACTCAGTCCAATATAATGGCTAACCAAACCTTATTGCTAGGCCTATCCAATTTATTCAAGGAGCTCTCAAGAGAGAATACCCTTGCAATCCAAAGGGACTGTAGTAGGATTTACATTGAACCTGAACCAATATAAAAATCTGGGTATCTTTAATTCCCGCACTTTACTTCGGCTTTCAGTTATATTCTGTTTTTATTTTCAGTCGACTAATTGGTAACCTAGTCAACTACTTAGGATATGATCACGAACTATGCCTTATAAAAAGGACTAAGCGGTCGTTGCAAATATAATCCGGTTTACAAGTCCGGAGTCGAATCCCACAGAGAACTAAGGCTTAGCTACAGTTGTTCAATATCGTTAATAAACACAAGTCCAAACAATTTCCTAATTATAAAGATTATAATATTTATTTTTATCTAATTAACTAACAAATACTGAAAATTAGTAAAACTATTAAATAACAAGGATAAGGATTGAAGACAAGATTAAGGAGGTCTAGAGTTATGATTTCCCCTATTGTCGGAATCCTTTCCGCTACGTTTCCTATAAATTTGCCTAAGTTTTTTCTACCGATCATGAGCACTCTGACTGTCGTAACTCTCTTCCGAGTAATTACCACAATTTACTAGCCATATTCTCCCGAATTACGCTAGTTGGCATTAAGTACGGCTTACTCGGGTTGCACCAAAGTTTCGTTATCCCTAATCTCACCTTTAAACCCTCCGTATTGATCCCTCATATACGTTAGGAGTGATGTTATTCAACAACTATCTAAATATGCACTCTCTCCCGAGTAATACACACTAAATAGGCACAGTCAATTGATAGCTCTTCAACCAACCACAATAATAAGTAGTTGAACAAATCGAGAAAATACTACAGCAAATCTATATTAACATTATAGGAAAATCATCCTCCAATAGGTTCCATCAAAATCCTAGATAACAAATTAACTATTCATAATAGTATGCAAAACTACAATACTAGAATTCATAACCAATAATGGAAAAATAGGAAGAAGAAAGTGAAAAACTCGTAGAAGAATTCTCCGCCTTGCTCCTAGTGTGTTCTTGCCTCCTTAAGTTGGATCCCCAGCCTCCATGGCGGCTTCGTGCTCTCCCTAGGTCTAAAGTGTGTCAAAAGTCTGTCCCCCCTCCTCAAAATAGCATATTTACATGTATTTATACCAAATAGGGTCGGGCCTAGACGAAACATCTTTTCCTGCGAGAAATAGGACAATCAATCTGTAAAATTTGCACTACCGCACCGCATGAGGTGACGCGCCATGTGGTGTGCTTGTGGGGAAGTTCAGAGAGCTGATTTTGATAGGCTGCAGGAATTTTCCACAGGCGCGGCGCGTCCCGCGCCGCTCCACGCTCCGCGATAGTGGAAATTCGCGAAAATACAAAACAATAAAGTTGTAGTCCTTTCAAATAGTTTTCCAACAATATATTGCGGAGCCCAAACGGAGTTCTGAGCGAACAGTTATGTGCATTTTACTAGACAATGCGCCGTATGCCCGCTCGATTCTTCGTTTCGTTCTTAACTATTATTTGTTGATCCCCGAACACGATCCTGGCTTGATTTCTTAGGCTTTTACTCAGATTTCAAAGCTCCAAGTCACTTGAATTCATTCCATAATATTTACATAGCTCGCAATCACTCCTACAAGGCATAAAATATATAATTAGTGCAAAACACTAGCGATTAAAGCTCAAACTCAATTAGAGTGCAGTACATTAGAGTGTAATAAGCGACTAAAATACGCAATTATAGCCTATCATCAACACCCCACACTTCAACCATTTTTGTCCTCGAGTAATCAAACTACACTTTATGTAGACACGACCTTTTTAAACAATTCTCCTAACTTGTCACACCAAGAATATTTAAAATAGACTAAGCACAAAAGCGTAACATCTTCACCTTAAGATTTGACTCGCAAGTACCATGCATTATTCACAACTCACTCACTTACTCTAACATAGAGATCAATGACATTACCTTTCCTTCATGAATCAGTACCCTCACACAACAAAAGAGAGTAGTTCCACACACAATAAAAGTTATGAACAATTTAGAACTCAAGATAGAAGGAATTCGCTCACTCTCAGAAATAACATTCATATGCCACAAAAGATGCACCATAGGCTTTCCCATAGTGTACTACTCTACTAATCGAGCTCATTCAGTCTAGGATCAAGTAGGACTTTAACAGATTGTATTGTAGGCTGCGGGACGGGTAGGATACATTTAGATATAAGAGTGACTACACCTCCCTAAGCATTTTAATACATATACGTAACATTTAAAACCCCACACTTATGTCAAACCATAACTCCACCTTCACATTAATATACACTAACTCCATACTTCTTTAAGCACAATTACCTTAAGAGTCACTACTATCAAGGAATATTTTTCACAACAATACAACTATTTTTTCTCTTTCTTTTTCAATTCAAGTGGCTCTTACTTTTTCAAAAAAGTGCAACTTTCTCCTTATCTCATTAGTTCCACTTAAAAGTCACACTTTAACTTTTACAAAGTTCATAATAATTCAAGTGCTCACGAGAGGTGAAAAGGTTCAAATAGATGGTTAATTCAAACAATTGGGTAAGGCTTGTAATGTAAGGTTGCCAAAGAAACAGGATTACAGGTTCAAAGGGTTAACTACGTTACATAACAATTAGGCGGGTAAAATATATATGTCTGGCTCAACAAAGAAACTCCTATATCACTTCCAAGACTGAACAAAACTACTATTTCGCTTTGCAAACACACGGGGCAAGTTCTAGACATCAAATGCAATGCACTGAATACACCCAAACGTCACACGCACATGGCAC